TTAAGTAATAAATTTTAGATCATCTAAGAGAGAATGAAATTTTCTAGCAATAGACACCATATGTTAGACATGGTCCCGTCCATGATGAGTTGAATTAATATTCTCATTTCATTTTGGGATAGGGTTCTAATTAAGTGTATTGATCAGACTTCATATGAAATATGAAAAGGAAATAAAGTGAATTTATCTTTACATAAGATTTGGCGTCATAAAGCATATGTCAAACGTTTGGACAAAGACAAGCTAAAGCTTAAATTAATGAAGTGTAAATTTATAAAATATCCAAAAGAAAACAAATGGATATTATTTTTCTACCTTTAGAATAAAGTTTTGCTCATTAATAGGCATGCTATGTTCCTTATTAAGGAATTTGTAGATGTTAGAAACAAGTGGGAGGAAAGTTGAACTCAATGAGATTTGAGTAGACTCAAAAATTGACACTCCACTAATGGAATCCCGAGTAGATAGGTTATAAAGTATTGTAACTACCCCATAAATAAATATATAATAACTTTAAAATGAGTGCATCAAAAGATAAAAAGATACGATCTTCTTATCTTAGCACATGGTGATGTGTACCGTAAAAAAGATGATGAAGTAATATCTATAAAGCGACGAGTGTTAGATATTAATTCCTAGAATGGCAAACAAATAAGGATGTGTAGATGACACATCCGGATGGTTTTGTCATAAAAGAATATACAAATGAGATTTGCAAAGGTCCATTTATGAACTTAAGTATACGTCTATAAATAAGAATCGATGTTTTCATGAAACAATCAACGAGTTTAATTTTTCACAAAAAAAGAAGAAGATGAACCTCATGTATACAAAAGGTTAGTGAGAGCCTATTATTCTTGGTTATTCTAGATAAAAACAAATAAACTACTTCTCGCCTACAATATTATCATGTTATAATCTATAAAAGAATGGGTAGTTAAGAATTTCTACATGTATGATATGAAAGAGCACCTATATTCCAAGAGTGGAGATCTATAGAGATAGATCACATAAAAGTGAGGGCTCTCCTAAGACATGTATATTGATATTATAATAAAATGCTTAGTATGGAAGAATTAAAAAAAGGAATTCTTCCAATGTCACATGGCTTGATGACCGACTACATAGGATCCATAACGCAAGCTAAGGAATAAGGATAAAAAAGGATAGAAAAGGTCCATACCGACGACAACATAGCAGACTCTTTGACTAAGCCTCTTATCATAGTTGAAACATAAGACCTTACTCGATCGTTGGGAATAAGAGATATGGCTGGTTGGTTCTAGTACAAGTGAGAGATTATTAGTGTAGGTGCCCAAGATCCAACCTTGTTTGGATGGTTTGACTTATTATAATATTGCATTCTTTATTTTATTAAAAGAAAAGTCTTTCTATTAATTTTTGTTGTTTATATTTTTATAGAATTAGATAGAAGTTCATATGATATGCATTGCATTAATGATTGATCGAAAGATATGAGATGAAAATTAATACACTTAAATGGTATTATTAAATGTCCCAAGTCATAGCATTGTCAAGAATGGACATGGACTATATACGATGAGAGTTGTGAGTGTTATACTCATGTTATAAGATAACGATAGAAGATCTCACATCTATTGACATGGTGATACCAAAGTAAGCACTTAGGTGATTAATGTTAGAGAACATATCACTAAACTTGACTCATCATGAGAACCTATTTGGTTTTAGTCTATGAGAATCTCATACGAGATGAGTACAACTAGTCCTTTGACTTGAAGTCATTATGATTATCTCATTAGAAGATTTATGTACTTTGACACTCGTTTCGATGGGCTCGACTAAGAGCCGCACGTGGATAATTCGTTGGGTGAACTATGAATCTAATGAAAATAGATGGATGACTAAGATAAGATATGTTATTCCTTGTATGTTAAAGGAGTTATCACATTACACTTCGATAAATATCTCGCTCAATAAATCCGTGACCACAATATGAGTATACCAATAGAGCATAGTTGCTTTACTTTAGAGCTAAGATAACTAGGAATAAAAAAAATCTTGTGATCATAATCGAAAAAACTTTAAATCAAATTTAAGATTACACCGTGATAAATTGACATGAGAATTGAATTATATGATAACCATGCTCGTGAAAGGTAATTGTGGATTAATTAATCCTACTAGAGGCTAATCTTGATTTATGTATTAAAAGATAGATGTTGTATCTTTTATTCTTGATATATTACCAATATATCTAAGAGCTTATTGAGTCACACATATAAATTTAAGCATTCACATAATAAAAGAGAAGCAAAGATTTTGGAAAAAAGGTTTTCAATTTTGTTGAAAGTTTTCAAAAATAGAAAGTTTTCTATTTGGAAAAGGTTTTCTAAAATGGAAAGTTTTCTATGTTAGAAATTAGTTTCTTAATTTAGGTTTAAGTGTGATTTGAGAAATTGTTTCCTAATATCGGTTTCTTAACAATATCTAATCCAATTTATTTGAATAATCCAAATTAATTGATAATTAATTAGGCCAACAACATTTAGGTCAATAAGCTTAATTTAAAAGCTCGTAAGATATTTTGGTGAGAGGATAAACTTGAGTTCTATTTGATAAGGCTCAAGGCTTACAAGGATGAGATTAAAAAAAGCTCACTCATGTTACAACTCATTGTCCTAGGAGAACAAGGATGTCACCCCTATATACATAAGAGGGATGGTAAAGAGGGTAAGATTAATATAGATATGCTTGATAAAAGAGAAAGAAAAAATGAGAAAGTGTTTCTCTTCCAAAAGCAAAAGTTTTCACATCCTTTCCTTGAGTTGTCGCAAAAACCCCGATTTGATTTTTAGAGAAAAGTTAACTATATAGAAGGATTGGAGCTAGCACTCTGTGATTTCTTTGGTTTTCTTTATATATGTTTTAAGTTGCATGGATTATCGATAGAGGTCAAACACTTAAACGACTTCTTTTCTCGCAAATGCTAAATTTACACTATAAGAGGTAATCTTTTACTCATGCTTTTAATTCATGTATGTATGATTAGTTGATTTAACAACTTGATCTTGGGAGCCTTAGATGGAGGAAAATTTTTGTTTTATTTCGTATCTCCATAATATGCATGATCCTTCAACGGATACTCGACCGTTCTAGATGATGAAGCCACGTCTCGACCGATATCTTGATCTTGCTAATTCTAGTGTTTCCTTCTTTCAACCATTTGGTAAGAAACCAAAACCATAGAATTTCTTTATGATTATTTTTTTCCTATTTGTTCTGTTAATTTTGTAAATGTTTCCCTATCTCAAGTGGCCTTTAATTGTCTACAAATTGTCTCTCGTGTGTGTCGCAGGGCGACGTCGGGGCGAGGGTGACGAGTTGAGGTGAAAATAGGAAAAAAATGGGCAAAAATGATTCGAGTTGCCACCTAGTGGTATGATTACTAGAAAATCTCATGACTGGTCTATTTAGAGTTTTGAGTAAGGGATTTATTATGTGTAAGGAAGATCAAAAGTCATTCTATCCCGTCCTCGCCTAAGGTAAGCTCGCATTGCATGCAAATCTAACTTGATTTTTAATTTTTTTTTTATGATTAAAAACTATACCCATTTGTTCAAGCATTTGCCAAGTGGTCGAGTGATTTGGTACTTGATTGATCGGAGACCTTATCCTCACTTTGTAATGTATGAATAAGAAATGATGGATGCAAAGATATGTGACTAATGTGACTTAAGTGACGAGTATGAAAACAAAACTTAAACATGGACAAATAGGCAAACAAACAAGATAGACAAGTTAGCAAAGTAGACAAACGAGACAGAAATATACAAATAAACAATTAGGCAAAATAGGCAAGAATCGACAAACAGGCAAACATGCAAATAAGCAAAATGAGCAAAATCAACAAATTGGTAAATAGGCAAAATAAGTCAAATCGGCAAATTGACAAATAGGCAAAATCGATAAAATTGACAAATTGGCAAAATTGGCAAACGAGCAATTAGGTAAAATAGGTAAATTGAAAAAATCGACAAATAGGCAATTAGGCAAAAATCGACAAATAGGAAAAAATTAGCAAATGGGAAAAATATGCAAAATCGATAAATTGACAAATAGGTAAAATCGACAATCATGTAGATAGGCAAAATTGACAAACAGAGATAGATAGACAATTAGGCAAAATAGGCAAAATTGACAAATTAGTAAAATTGGCAAATTGGCAAGAATCGACAAGTTGGCAAAACGGAAAAAATCGATAAGAATGGACAAGTAAGCAAAAATTGACGAGTTGGCGAAATTCGAATTAACACGATTCTAAAGTCATATTCTAGGAGAATTAATAAAAATTTCAAAATTAATGATTATTTGACACGTATAGCCTAAGTGATGAGATTTAAACTAGCATGATTCAAAATTATAATTTTTTAGCAATAACAAATATTTACATAATAAACCCATCAACCAAATCATATAAACACAACGACAATATAATTAATTATCAAGTACGTCATCACAATTTAATTGATTGACAAACACATCAAAACGAATTAATTTACCAAGCATAACCTTACAAATTAAATTTCATACATATATCAATAAAATAAAAATAAAAAGGTAAAAAATGAATTACTTGTAAAAATGCGATATGAATTTGATCGTTTAATTTGAGGTCGATATCGACACTTTCAACCTTGACGGAGATCGATTATTCGATCAATTGGGAAGGAGCGACGACCGCCTATTGTAGATCCGGCCCCCATGTGAGGTGAAATGGCGATTAGTGATCGAATCTAGGTCGGTTAGTTGGTAGTGATCCTCGCCGGAGCCCGGTGTGGTTGTCGGACGTGTGAGAAGGTGATCTGGTCGGTTGGAGCCGGCGGGTAGGGACATGCGAAGGGTTGTTGTTCGTTGGTCGGCAAGCACTAGGCGGCCTAGGTGCTAGTGCAAGTTGGTAGGCCTAGGCACCGGTGTTGGTGTTGGGCGACAAGCTCGGCGGGGAGCACTCGCTGGTCATGCGGGCGTGGGTCGGTAGGCGTGCGAGGGAGGTTAAGCGCCGGGGTGAGGCCGCTCACTCGAGGGTGCCGCACGCTGAGGGCGTGCTACTCGTCGCTACGAGATGGGGGTGTTGCGCGCTAGGCAAAGGCCGCACTAGGGGTGTTACGCGCCGGAGACTACCGCTAGGAGGGGCGAGGTTGGCGTTAGGCGGAGGGCAAGGTTGGCGCCGGATAGAGGGAGTGCTTGTTGTGTGGGGCAAGGCAAAAGGGAAAAGCTGGTGTGTGGAGGTGGGCTAGAGTGAGAGAGGGCGGTGGAAGGGCTGGTGGCTAGGTTATTTTTAGAGGAGGTTAATAGTAGTCGTCACTTTTTGAGAAAAAAGTGGCTTTTATACTTGATATTTAGAGTTTTTAGTCGAAGTTTGATTTAGTCTCTTATCTCGTTAACTCGGTTTATTTTGGTTCTTTTCTCCTTTCTTTTTCAATTGCATCCCTCGATTATATTTTTTAGTTCTTTCTTTTTTCTTTTTCTTTTTTGTATTTTTTTGGAAAAAACTTGGGTGCTAACATACGGTTCTTAAACCCAATTGCCTCTTTAATTCTCCTCACTTGTTTCTCTATATTGCCTTTTGATTCCTTTAATTCTTTCTGTCCATTCTTCTCTTTTTCTTGCTCAATCCTCTTTCTCTATTTATATATGGGAAATCGGTCCCTCTTTTTTGAATTGGCCTTGATGGCAGTTTTTGGCCTTTGTATAAACGAGATAAAAAAAAAAAAAAACGATTGTGTTTTCAAAATGTGCCTAATGTTTGCTTGTTTTGGATATGTTGGTTCTATATGTTGTTGCGGGTTGCGAAGCCACCATTGTAGAAGTTGCGGGGTTGACTCGCTTTGTCCATGAGTTGTACGGTTTTGATGTAAGGGGATATGGATGCAAGGTTGACCTACTTTGATGCGGGAGGTTGTGTCGAGGGTTTGTTTAGGAGTTGTAGGAGCTTGCTTGCGGAGGATTTGTCCCTCCGGTTGCGGGAGGTTTGTGGGAGCTTGGTTGGGAACTCGTAGGAGATATGTAAGGGATTTATCCATCGATCTTAGTTTTTGCTTGATTTTGTATTTTATTTGTTTATTATTTATTTTTTGTTTTTTGTATATTAAGTTCCTATAATGAAAATAACAATAATATAAAGTAAACAAAAACCTAAAATAAAAGAAGAATAAAGTAAAAGATAAAATTTGAAAAGGAAAAAAAATTGGTTATGACATATAATAATAATAATAATAATTTATCATATTTTTTTTGTTTTTATTACAAATATGACACTACTTTGGCAAATCTCACTTATAGCATTTAAGCAGATTTGTTTAATCCAAATTCTATTATTTCTTTATATCAGAAATAATAGTAATGTATTTGAAAAGAAATAATAATAATAATAATAATAAAGATATATTTACTAGCTAGCTGGTTTTAAATAGCTTTTAAGAAGAGCTGCATATAGAAGTTGATTCCAAGTATCAGGAACCCCAGCAAGACACCAATGGCTGCAGTCCAGATCCCTGTGCCCACCATGGCCATAGACTGAGGGATGGCCATCTTTTCTTAGCTGCGACAGGGTTGTGACATCAAGCAAGTGCACTGGCTTTGACATTGCACCTATTACTTTCTCAACAACCAGTTGTGCTGGGTGAGGTCCTGCTGGGTACTTGTAATTGCCCCTCTTATTGAAGAATGGTTCTTTCTGTCCCTCGCAGTTCTTTGCATTCGGCTCTCTCCAATCACTTCCACTGTTTCATCAACACAAGTTTAATTAATCAACTAATTAATCACCAGTCAAGTTTCTTTGTTAATCATTGATTATAGGGCAACTGACTCATTTTTTGCTTATACAGTAGGCTAAACTTGTAATATATTTTTATGCCTTTAATTGAGTTAATTTTATCTTTATAAAATGATTAAATTTTCAATTTATCATTCTTGTTAATTCCTTGCACCCAAATTAACATAATTCATCATACACATAATCTACTATTATAGGGAAAATGACAACCTCAGTAAGGAGGGGTGGTCACCCGAGAGAAAGAGAGGGTTGAGGAAGGAAAGTTTCGAAGAGATACACAAATCGAGTCCTATGTGAATTTGTTTTTAAAAATAATTTTTCTATTTGTCATGTGTTTTGTACATAATTGACATGCCAATAGAGTTGAAGGCCATTTTCAGTATAATATCAAGTCAGATGGATGACTGATTCTGTTAATTTTGACAAAAAAATTAACAAAATAATAAATTAAAAACTTAATCATATTATAATGATAAAATTAACTTAATTAAAAAATATAAGAACAAATTAAAAACTCAATTTATTCTATAAGGACATACTATATTTTTTTCTCTTGATTGTATTTAAGGTTTAAAAATTTGCTAATTTAATTTACTAGTGCTCAATGGTATATATATATATATATATATATATATATATATATATATATATTGACCAATGGTATTGGTCTCTAAAGTGGTATAATAACCTATAAATTAACTACTAGATCAACGTATCCACTGACGTGATATATATATGTTGTTATGCTGACCTTCATGTATGGACCTACGAGCTAAGGTGTTTTACATCCGTACTGTAGTGATGTCTTGTGGTCTTATGTCCAATTTTAGGAACACTAGGAAGAAGGGTTTGGGAATATTAATCTGCATCAATTTAACTTACTTCATGTGATCTGGAGAAACTCCTTGAAAGAAGACTTTGGTTTTTGCTGGATCTACATTGCTCTCAACCCATTTAGCCCATGTACTCAAGGCTTTCTCGTATGCTACCAACCGATCCATGTCTCTGTAAGTAGCTTTCCCAACTTGAATAAAATTCCATCTATATAAAAGGAATTCCAATTAATACCCTTGGGTAAGTTACAATTTTATACATGACATGATACAATTAGGAGAGTCATATATAATGGAGAAAAGAAAAAAAAAAAAAAAGATGGTTACATACGGTTGTTGCCTCCCTCTATGAAGCCACCAATGCCATGTGTTGAAGACCAAAACATCAATTCCTTTCCATAAATTTCCACCTTCAATGGAGTCGAGCATCAGAGCAGCCCCATGGTTTGTGCTTACAATGTCAACTAGAAATGCATTGCGAGAGAACATCACTTTAGCCCCATATGCCTGCAAAAATCATAAATCTAAGCTTATTATTTTCTAAATTAGATTAATACATCTAATTTTTAATCGATTTTAAGAACCGATTTTTTTTTTTCAGATCACCAGCCCATGTCAAATGTCATGTAAAGAAGAGAAACTTTTTAAGAGTGAGAATTAAATCTCTAACCTTATTACTCAAAGATGTTATTTTTATTACTCAACTGTATATTTTTGACAGTATCAAGAATCATTATATTTATTAAAATAAATAAATTTACAAAAAAAATTTTTAAATCCTATAAAAAAAAAGCGACAATTTTGTATGATTTTTTTTAGCACAGTATTATGCTATTTTATTCTATAATTAGTGCATATATGGAAATATAAATCATTATAAGTGACAATTTTGTATGATTATTTTTGGCACAGTATTGTGCTATTTTATTCTATAATTAGTGCATATATAGATGCTTAAGCACATATAAGATTCCTTCATTTAATTACCTCAAATCCTAAAAATAATAACAATCAGATTTAATCTTTATATATATATAAGGCTAACGTACGTTTGGTTTATGAAATTGGAATCTGACGATTTTTCTTATAATTAAATCCTCTCACCTTTTCCTATTATCGAAGAAAGTGAGTTCCAAGTAAGAATTGGCAAGATAAGCAAAAATCTTAAATTTCTTAGATTTTTTGTTTTAAAAATTTATATAATGATAATGATGTAGCAACAAATTAATAACTGCCACGAGTCAATTAAAAAACAAAAAGTAGGAATGCATGGAGACAAAACATGAGACAGAAGTAATTAAGGATTTTGGACTCACTGGAAAAGTGAAAGTGGACAGCCCTCCTGTCCTGACTGAGCTATATTTAGCGTGTGGTAGAGCTACATGAAGCATGCAAGTGAGTGACTGCCATTGGTTCAAACTCAGCGAATCTCCCACGAACATGATGCTCTTCCCTTTAACTATTTTTGATAAGAAATTTTTACCATCAAACCTACAATTTGGATCCATCAGCAAACAATTAATATTAACTAATTAACATGATGCTCTTAGGTCGCTAAAACGTTGGAGTTCACAATTTGATGTACTTAAAACACTAATTTCACAATCATAAGATTGAAAGCAACTAATGAGGAACAAGTTGTTTCGTAGGTTTATTGGTCGGTGGTGAATGTTATGTCAAACCAGCTGGTTGTTTGGGCCCAATGAATTGTCAAGAATTTTTTTATTCCTGTTAAATTAATCGAACTGATCTTCATTGTGCCATAACTTGCACGAGTCAATTATACCCTTTGAAAGTGGCCTTGAATATATCCATAATTAAATGATCTATGACAGAGAACTCAAGATTATCTGAGAAGCTTTGAATCTTAAGGTCGTATTCAACAAAATTTACTCTTTTCAATGCATTAGGTTGATACGGGAGTTTGGTTTTTAAATTACTCAAGAAAAAGATTTGATTTGATTTGATTTTTAACAAACAGACAGTACCCTGACTAATTTGATTTGATTTCAATTGCTATATTGATCTCCCAAATATCTTTCGTCAAATCCACAAAAAAAAAAAAAAAAAAAAGATTTTAGAGAGACGTCTGCTTCTAATTTCTATAGCCAAAATAGGCTGGGACTCCTCCAATATATATATATATATATATATATATATATATATAAACACCCCTGATGTTGATCAAATTATGATAATTTTAGGTTCTTATTGGCAACTTGCAGGGACCGAAAACACATGACGCAACCGACAACGTATCATTGTCGTTTCAAAGAACATGCAGCTCGAGAGAGTTGAAAGAAATGCAAGAACAAGAGGATAGAGGGAACTGAGTGTAAAGTAAAGGATGTGATGAGGTTATGAAACTTCATGAAAATGATATGGCTCTCTAATGGTTGTTGTCGATAGGATGGCGATGCTTACTGATGAGTGGTGTTCATGCTGGATAGAATATTTGCAAAATAAGTTTTTTAAGTTGGATGAAAGATCCTTTTAACAATCAAATTAGTGTATGGAAGGAGAGATCAATCGAAAAAGATTGACAGAGGTGTGAAGAAAAAATAGCAATAAGAGAAGAGATTCAGAACCTTTAATATGAAGGGAGAGATCAAAAAAATAAAAAAAAGACTGGTGCAGGTATGAAGAAGAAGATGAACAAAAGTAACAAGAAGAGAGATTCGAAACCTTTAATCCGAGGGCTCTTGATTATTTATTTAGCTAATAGATTCGTCAAATTATATAAAAAGAAGGATATAATGATCCATTGTTTTGTTTCCAACAACTTTTAATATCAATTGAAAAGATAAATATGCTTAAGGTTGATAGATCACTGTTGAAAGAGTATGAAGACGTCATTGTTGGTGTGGTTTGACAAAAACAGTTTTGATAGTGTATCATTATTTATTAACATTACCTTTTTTTTTTATGGATGGGGTTGGTTTGATTATCATCAAGACTGTAATAGATTTGGTTCCTCTCAAAAGATATTCTCAATAGTCTATGTTTCCAGTGTGGTTCAGTTCTCCAAAATTTTGCCCCAATATGTTTTTAGGCTAAAAATAGATTTGTGCGTATAAGTATTGCTTATAGTAAAGATTCGTGAATTCAGCAAAATGACATGTATCATTTGAATATATCAGATACATCTGTTTATTATTTTTTTAATATATGTATAGATATATAACTATCAATGGAGAGTCACCTCATGACTCACACCTTTCACTCCTTTTCTACTCATCTGTTATACTTCCTAATTTTGAAATGCAAGAAATGGAAGAAAGGAACTATCCTGTATCAGGCTAATTAACAGAAACAAGAAATTCCTTAAAAAGAAAAGCAAATACTTCTCAAATTTGTTATCTTCTATAATTATATTCAGTGGGGTGTAGATCAATAAAGAATTACCCTAAAGGAAGTTAGATGAATTTAGTTGACAACAGACCTTCTTACCACGGAAAGGACCACTCATCATATTGTCCAATATGTTGGTATGTCACTTTTCAGAAATTAAAAAAAAAAAGAAAAAAGAAAAAAGGGTACTATATTGACTATCAAAGACTATAAATCCAAAAATAAAAGTTAATAAAAATTGAGATAAATACAAGTTGATATGTGGCTGGACGAAATTAAGCATGATTTTTTTATAGAATTGATTACTGAACGATTAATTAATATGGATTCCACATGATTGGCCAATATATATTTTTTTTAAACATGATTAATCAGTATTTTTTTTTTTTTTTTTTTGTGTGTGTATTTTAAACTTATGCAATGCCCACCATTCTTAATTAGACACATATATAACCAAAAAGATGATAGGATATGAGAGGCTGAGAACTGCAATTTGCTCATATCATCCTTGCAAGTTGCAACTTCGATTAAGATTATTATGATGTTATTTATGTACAAATTAAACTACTATTTGGGGTGTCATGGAGTTTCCTAGGCTTAGCTAATCAACTAATTTATCCATACATGTCATCCTATTCATTTGCATAGCATTGTCTTTTTCTCGCGAAGTATGTAATGAAATGACCAGCTAACTAGCAGCCACAGATAGATACCAATCATGACAATTAGGGATAACTAGATTGTTGGTAGACTAAATTTTTAGTTTTTCTCAATCAAATATATATATAATTTATTTTTTTCATTTTAGTATATTGATTTTTGAAAATAAAAACTCTAAATCAAATATTGGTTCAAATAATTTTTATCAATGTTTTTTCTGATGATGTGACGATCAAGTGAAATATTAACAGTCAACTACCACATCATCAAAAAAACGAAGAAGATAGCAGAGTTTGAAAAGTCGGCATATACTCAAACACAAAAAATTAGAGAGTTTATATACTTGATTGAAAAAAAATGAAAACTGGTGTACCAATAATATAATTATCCCGAGAGTTAAGCAGCCATAGCCAAACCACAAAACACAACACCAAACTTAGACATATATAGCCAGAGGTACGTAGCCAGCCATGGCCATGTATGTGTGTGTATATATATATATATAAGATGAGAGAAATAAAGTTATGTACCTTGGAAAGTTGCAACCTGCATTGGGCTGCCATCTATACTTGAGATAGTCTTTGTCTGGTCGACCATTCTTTAGACAATCGAACTCCTTCTCTATGAAGGGACATTGTGATGTATCGTAGAGAGGATATGATTCATCATGAACCCATTTCCCTTCATAGAGATCACATCCACCACCTCGTGCAATTCCTCTATGGTGCACAACAAAAGAAAGAAATAACAGTGTTACTTTAATGGCAAAACAACCCACGTCCATGAGAGTATGTGTGTCCGAGCGAGAGAGAGAGAGAGAGAGAGAGAGAGAGATGAGTAGTTGAAGCTCACAAAGATGGTATGATATTGAACATGAAGAGAGTTGTAGTAGTAGTAGTTCAATATATAGAGGTGGTTTTGGCATTTTTGGATTTTCACTTTAAGTTTGGCGCTTTTAGTGAACTAGTAATTAGTATTAATGAGCTAGATGATCATTTGGGTTAATACATATGATGGGACAGATACTCAGTTAACCATAAATATTAGCATAAATGATTAGAATTGGTTGCGGATATTTGGATGATTAATTTGGCTTAAGTTCTACCTATATGTATATATAGTTTGTTGGAATTTTTATTAAAAAAAAAAAAAAAAGCTTTTTGTGAATTTTAATTTTTGTGGGATACTAAAGGTGAAGTGTGAGAAAATGTAAAAAATAAATAAATAAAGGGTTTAGAAAAGAACATATGTCCTGAAGCAATCCAACAGTACTCACTTGGAAGAGAGTGATAACCAGGCAAGTTGCTGGAATGTCAAATCAACTAGTATTAATTTCAAAATTTCTCCATTTGTCTTTTAAGGAGAGCATGACCCATGCACATACCTCTACATAAGGATGATAATTTTACCAAATCTGTTGGATATATCTATATCATTAAATCCTTGTATTTTTATTACTTTTCAACTTGACCCTTTTATTTTTTATTTTATTTAGTTAGTCCCTTTATTCAAGTGAATTCCTTAATGTGATCTACTTGTCTAACCTTCTTCTAATTTAAGATTAAATTTTTGACAACATGTTAGAAAAATGTACACATGTCTAACTAATTCCAAATATATAATATATTTTTAATTAATTGTATGAATTTCGAAACGGCCCAAATTTATGGAGACATAAATTCCAGTCCAATCGTATTATTAGGGTTGTAATTTAATTTGCCAAGCACCATAGCATTATGCCCTACATCAATTGGAGGTCATTATAAGCATTCATTAAGCATTTCATTCTTAAGTACTAGCAATTGTGGGTAGTCATTGTACTATTTATTACCATTACGAAATTAGATTTATGTGGTTTTTAAGATACACTTCATTTCGTGGAAAATACACTACATAAAATTTATTAAATAGCAATAACATTCAGCGGCAGAATTTGATTTTCATCACTAATATTGGAGTCTTTTTTTTCCTTCTCATTACATTATGTCGCTAAACCTTTTATTCTCTCACCAACCACCGATAGAATATTTTCGTCGCTAAAAAAGTTAAATTCAACAACGAAATTGTCTGTCACTAATAGATGAAAATTTGTTGCAATTTTGGAAATTTGAAAAAGTGATGAACGCTTATTTTTGTTGCCAAAAGAATGCAATTCAAAGGACTCTGTTGCTAAAAAAACATCCCTAAATTGGATAGAATCTCCTTTTTCCTCTCGTTTTCTTCTCCCTTCTCCCACCAAAACTCTCATAGTTGCCTCCTCCAACCGTGCCATCGACTGTAAGACCACCCACACCAGCAGTTGCCGACCACTCCAACATTCTCCTCTCCTAAAATAGTCAATGTCTCTTCCCTCAAAAGTCTCCTCTTCACAAAGATTGTTGTCGTCGATCCTTCCTTTGCATTAGTGCTTGAAGGGATTAATTAATTTGTT